ATAGTCTGAAATTATGTAATCCCTTTGTTTCAAAGTTTAGTGCGTATAACGTTTTTAGGAAGTCAAATTTCATCAACTTTAACCAAGTTTATAGGGAAAATGTATCTACATGTATATTTTCAATTCATCTCACTATAGAAAACACAAGATCGACTTTCATATTATATTTATTTTGTATTTCTATTGTAGATATTTTTCGCAATGAAACTTGGTCAAACTTTGTGATCTTTGGCTTTAAGAAAAAACCATGTACACTACATTGTAGAATGGAGGGAGTATGTTTTTCTTCAGTATTATCATATACGACCTTAAGTATGCATGATTCTATGGATTAGATTAACAATGGTGTAAATATACTGCTTCACTAACTTTGATGCACGTACATATCTGAATACCTAGTCAAGAATGAACTATGTAAATGATATTTTAGAACTTTCCTTTCTCGATCGTATTAGCAAATATGTTGACCGGTAGAGTGTTATTATATGTTTCCTAAGCTGCTTCGGTGCGATCTCGAGATCGAGCCTGGATGGTCGGTAAGCTATGGCGATCCGGTTTGGCATGCAGAAAAAACATAAGGAAAAAACCGTCGATTTGGTATGCTAGCTGGACCTTAAAATTGGGACCCCTCGGTCAGAAAGCTCACAAAATTTTAAACAGGGCAAATTGTGGCAACACTTTTGCTAAATGAGGTAAAACGGATGAAATCCTGCTAAATGGGGTAATTAGTGTCAAAGTTGTCAAAAGAGAGGGTAAAAACCGGAATTCACTCACCTCCAGGCAACCATGACTCCAGGTATTTATCGATGATTGTGCCTTATCGATGCTTTTGCTTTTGAATTTATAAACTCATGCTTGTGCCTCTCCACCATTTTCATTTAAACTTGAAAAGTCATGCTTGTTCTTCTTAACTTGTAGGTTTGTTTCGCAAACGCCGTGAACAGCAGAGCTCGTTGCATTGCTGGAGTGTCTATGGTGCTAGCCTGTTGGTAAAAGAACTTGTTGATATATGCGTCTTGTTGCTTGTATGGACCATTGCATTCTTATACATGTGACTTCTTGCTTATATGGACCTACATGTGCTTGTTATGGACTGAAGTAATGTGCCTCTTAGGGCATCTCCAACGCCTACCCTCAAACCGTCCGCAACCGTCTGGACCGCGCGGTCCGAACGTGTTTTGTCATCCAACACGGTCCTGTATCGGTCCGCATGCCGGTCCGCGCACATTTTCCCCGCAAACCAGAGACAAAGTGGGGGAGGGAGCTTTGAGGGCGTTCGGATTGCTACCACACTCGATCCTGGCTACCTTGGCACATAAAAAACCCTCCTACCTCGCCCACGTGCGTTCCCGCCAGACGCTGGTCAACACCTCTACAGAGCGTCAGCGCCGCATTCATGCCGGTCCAGAGCGGATGTGCCCTCTCACTGAAGCCGGCATTGAAGCGGGGCGCCGGACGAGAGCGCCGCCAGCGCCGCTTCCCGGTGCAGGTGTCGTATCTCCCCATTCAAACAGCACCAGTCCATCTGCCAGCATCCATTAAACGCATGCGGTTGCTGAGAAACGGCGAGCCAGTGCCACCCGTTCAGCCGTGTGCCGCCTGCCATTAATCATGTCGCTGCTCTCCCTACCATTCCCCTGCTGTATAAACTGTAGGCTCGACCATAGCCGCATCCATCATCTTGTGCTCCCTTCCTTCTCTCTACATGTCTGCCATGGCCTTCTCGAGCTCCAAAACCATTAGAGACAACCTCTCATCCCAGAAAAAAAAATTAGAAATCACCTCCATTGCAGTCGGCTGGCAGGCCGACAGGTAGACGAAGACCGTCCCTGCGGACGTCCCAATAGAGGACATGACCGAGGACGAGTCGACACCACCCTCCTCGCTGGTGCATGCCGGCATGACCATCGGCAAGGCCCGTGCCCACTATACGAACATGGTGTTGGAGGAGCGGGAGGCCAAGTTCCGGCTGGCACGGGCCGACCAGGCCTACAACCTCTGCCTGGCACAAGCCGACCAGGCCTACAACCTTCGCCACCTTAGACGAGCACCAACACTAGGAGGAGCAACTTGCCGCCGACATGGCCATGGTGCCGAACGTGGACGTGAGCGAGTAGGAGGCGTTGGTCGACTCCTATTGCACCGCGTCGCTGGCGGTACATTTAGTATCAGGTGGATTTACAGGCCGCCTACAAGGAGATAGACAAGGCGGCGGATGAGTTGTTCGGCAGTAGCGGCGACAAGGAGGACATCGCTAGCACCGCCACAACCATGAAGCCGGCATGTCCGTGAGCACCGTCGGCAACGAGGAAGAGTAGTGCATGAGAGGTTGCCGATGCTCGGGTCCCAGGAAGACCGTTGTTCCTCCCCTCCCTTTAAAGCCAAACTTGGTGGGCTCAACATCATCGGTCGATTAGCCGCTTGGCGGTGACATGGAGGCAGACGACGTCACTTCCCTGGGCTCATGGTTGTGGTGGTGGAGGCTGCGGAGGTGGAGCTGGAGACTGCGGATGTGGAGCTAGAGCTCCATTTCGTGGTGCTCACGCTAGGACGGACACCGGCGATCGTTTAGATTAGGTTTTGAGTCAGGTTTAGTTAAAATATGTCCTAGATGTAATGAATTTGATCCGGTTTATATAAATTCCAGTTGGTTTCCATGAATTTTGTCCGGTTTATATGAAATCTGCCCGGTTTCCGTGAATTTTGTCTAGTTTATATGAAATCCAGTCGGTTTTCATGAATTTTGTCCGGTTTGTTCAAATATGGTTTCAGTTGTATGCGGGTAGCGTCGGATGGCTGGCTCCTGCAACCGTGTCCGCGGATTGTTCCCCGGTCCGCGGACGGATGTGGGAGGAAATTTACAGGCCAGCGTTGGTGTGCGTGCTCGCATGCTGAAATGTAGGGTTAGTTCAATTAGCAAGCCAAAAAAGTACTAAAAGATAAGGCGAGTGCTAAGCTTGTAAGTGTATGTCACGTATCATACTTGGCCCCGGTGCCACGTAGCATGATCTGTAACAGCAAGGCTAAAATGAACTACTCGTTGTATCGGTAAGCCGAGTGTCCTCTGCAGATGGTGCTAATTGAACTAGTAGATGCAGTGATGATATTGTTGCGCTGAAGTTTTTTCATGAACTAGTAGATACTCGGCAACTGAGTTTTTTCATGAAGTGATGGCTGAAGATATTGTTGCGCTGGAGTTCCTGGTGCCCTCATATGTACGTTCTGACCCCCGCTCTCTCTTTTGAAATGTGCCATTGATCCATATGCCTATATGCTATTTCTTTTTTTGAAAATGAGGATATACCTCGGGCCTCTGCATCTGAATGATGCATACATACATTTTTTTAATTATTCACAAAGACCATACAAAGCAATACATCAATCAATCTAAAGCGGCCATCTAGGCACCACCTGTTGCTACTCCTATCCCGTTGATAACGTTGTGCCGAATATCCGGGCCGAATACCAAACAGACATCGCACCGCCGAATACCAAACAGACATCGCACCAAACCCTAACATCTATAGTCGGATGCCCAAGCCCAGCCACACACTGGGATTGGGTCCCAGACCGGCCCGGCGCACTCTCAGAGGTTGCCGCCGCCCTCTTTCGACGGTCCATCTCAAGAGCAGGAACTGATGCATCGACCTTGTCTGGTCTTTCGTCGACGCCACCATGAAGCCAGACAATGCCACCATCTTGCACGTATCTATCCACACGCACCCATCGCCGAACCTCTGCAGCGCCATGCCGTCGGGATCTGCCGTCGACCATGCGGTAGATGTAACACCGCTCCTCCTCTTGTCCCGTCCAACTAGCACTTCTCCAAAACGATGCCCCCAGGAGGGACAACGACATCGAAGGTCCCATCATCGTCCAATCACGAGTGAGTTGCCACTACCTGCAATAACGATGCCTCGAGAAGGGAACTGCCACCCATCTGCACGTAGCCCCCACCCTCACTGAATGGAGCGCCACCACCGCAACACCCAACCTCAGGTCACCGCCGGCCATGGAGGCTTCGATCGCCGCCGTGCAGCAGGGGCGCCACCCTGACTGCCGCATTCCGCGGCGACCACCCACCCTGGATCTATGGACCAGGGCCCGCCCCCACTCCGATCCTTGCCGACGTAGCGGCGGGATGCATACATCCATTTTAATGTGAGTACCATTATTTATAAGTATCAAGATATTTTTTGATGATTGGTTCCACTCCACACCAAGTTTGATCCATCAGGAAATGGAGGAAACCCCTATGTATCACTTGTCAATTTTAGAAATTGAACTCGGGTCGTTAAGCTGCACAACCGCATGCCCAATCATCGAGCCAAGGCTCTGTATGCATATGCCTATATGCTACTCCCTCCGTTCCTAAATACTTGTCTTTCTAGGCATTTCAACAAGTGACTACATACGAGCAAAATGAGTGAATCTACACTCTAAAATATGTCTACATACATCCGTATGTAGTAGTCATTTGAAATGTCTAGAAAAACAAATATTTAGGAACGGAGGGAGTACATGTTTCCAGTATGTTGTATGTGACTTGTCATGCCAGTAATCTCGTGATGATGCTAATCTCGATTGATCTTAAACAAAATAAAAAATATTTACAAACTGGATCAGAAGTTCTTTGCTTATAACGAACTAATATAAGTATATAACGATTTGCTAGGAGAGAAAAAAAGAAGAAGAAAAAGAAACATTTAAACCGTGGGCCAAACCGTTGAAACCGCTCGGTGGTTGTGGTTTTATATGAATGAAGTCTCGCAACGTCGTGCTTATTGGTGGGTCGAGAGGGGATGGATCGTAGGATGAACTTGACTTTGACAACTCCTCGGGTCATCGCCGACACGCTGCTGCAGAGAGGGAGCGACGGACCATTTCCACAAACACCTCGAGGGCTCGCTGATAAAAAGGCTACCTCCTCCGTCTACTTGTAGCTATAGTACGGGAACGTACTACTCGTAGTACTCTAGGACTAGAGTGTTTCATCGATCATGGCGTTCGCGGTCGTGGGGGATGCGGCCGCGGTAACACAGCTCATCGGGCAGGCGATCGGGCTCGTCGCCATGATCATCCGGGCGGTGGAGACGGCACACCAGAACAGGCTCGAGTGTGAGCGCCTCGCTTGCCGTGTGTCCACGGTCGACGGCGTGCTGTCTGACCTGCCGCGGGCCCAGGAGATGGCGCCGCCGCTCAAGGTGCTGAACAACACGCTTGAGGAGGCGCACCGCATGGTCATCGCATGCCAGAACCGGGGCGCCGCCAGCCACTTCTTCGGATCCCGCCGCCACGCCGATTGCTTCAATCAAGTCAACAACAGGATTACGTCCGACATCGTCATCCTCAACCTCAGCCTAAACAGCTTCATGGCCCGGCGACACTTCAACCACGTCCTTCATCCCAATCACGTCGGCGTACCGACTGCGACAATAGCCATGGCGCCGCCGTGGCCAGGCTTCAGCTCTGGCTCCCTGCAGACTCAGCTGGTGGTGGTGTCGCAGCCGCAGGTAAGCTCGATCTCCTTCGATAACCCCAGGGCGCTCACGTGGTCGGAGATTGCAGCGGCGACCAGCTTTGCCGTCGAGCTCGGCCGAGGCAACTCAGGAAGGGTATACAAGGGCCGTCTCCAATTCCAGTTCCACTTCCACCACGGCACGGAGGTGGCCGTGAAGGTGCTGGAAAAGCACAGGCGGCAGGGTGTGGAGGACGCGTTCATGGCGGAGAGCAACATCCTTTCCGGCCTCCGGCACGACCACATCGTCCGCCTGCTCGGCTGGTGCGCGGAGCAGGAGTACCGCATGCTGGTCTACGAGCATATGGGCAACGGCACGTTTAGAGACCACCTGCAGCACTTGGGCGGTGGCCCTAGCTCGTCGCCCGTGACGACGTCCTGGGAGACGCGCGTGGAGGTGCTGTTGGGCGTGGCCCGGGCCATCGAGTACCTGCACCGCGGCGCGGATCCGCTGGTCATCCATCGCAACGTCAGCTCGTCCAACGTCCTCCTTGACGCCAACTGGACACCGCGCCTGTCCGGCTTCGGCTCAGCGGTGTTTCAGGCTGCGGGTGTGGAGGAGCACGGCGGCCAGCTCGTCGAGGAGGTCGTCGGCACGCCCGGGTACATAGACCCGGAGTACAGCGGCACGCACTGCGTGAGCACGGGGAGCGATGTGTACAGCTTCGGGGTGGTGGTGCTGGAGGCGCTGACGGGGAGGCCGCCGGACATCTACGGCGTCACGCTGGGCCTCCTCGTGGACTCCGCGCTCCCGAGCGTACACAACGGAAAGCTGCGGGATGTGCTGGATGGCCACCCGGCGCTGCAGCCGACGCCGCGTCAGCTGGAGGCGCTGGATCTCGTGGCATACACGGCGAGCCGCTGCCTGTGCCCGCGCGGGCAGAACCGGCGCCTGGCCATGTCTGATGTCGTGGCCAACCTACACAGGGCGCTCCAGATCATACGCAGCAATTAGTGAGACTACAAGAGAATGTCTCCGTATCTTTTAAATATCCATTTAATTCTCAACGACAGTACCGAACGTTTTTTTCACCTTCCATCGATTTTGTGAAGAATGAAAAAATAATGGTTGAACGGTTAATGATTTCATTGATATACATGTTTTTTTAGCATCAGTACAGACACAAGCGCTCATATACACGCGCATACACTCACCCCTATGAACGCACACACGCACACCCTATCCTATGAGCACTTCCGAAAGACTGAGCCACGGAACGTCTCCTCTCACTGAAAGCGCATCGCCAAAAATCCTAAAATAGATCCAGGAATAATGCGAGCACCAGGATTCGAACCCTCGTGGGTTGGGGATACCACTGTCCGCCTAACCATCTCAACCACAGGTTGGTTCGCCATTGATATACATGTTGGAGAGGCGTTGGTTCCATAGAGAGACAGATGTGTTGCATCCACCAGGGACGTGTCCGTTGGCAATGAACACAAACAACTCACGGGTATTACTTAATATAAGGAGGCAATTACCGGTTAGATTCACCCTAATCTACTTATAACACACCTCTTGTACAATGCGTGCGTTTTCTTGAATAATCCATCATAGAAAGCCTCTTGCATATTCACCACTCATCTTAAAAAATGCCTTTGTGTAATCTTAAAAGTCTCCTCCAAAAATCATGTGGAAAAAATATGAGAAAAAAAGTGTAGATATGTTGCTAACACATTTTTAAACCCACTGAAGAAAATCATAGAAAAATGATGCGACATGACATGGTATTGTCGTGTCCTCTTCATTATATTTATGTGATTAACATCACACACAAGGTGCATAAAAGTGATTAACATCACACACAATTCATTATATTTATGTGATATTGGTATTGTCGTGTCCTCTTCCTCCAACACCTTTGGACGAGAACATCTTCTTCACCTACAACATAACATCAAGGTCCACCAATGCATGATAATCATCTTCATGTCCTTGCAATTACAACTATAACTATCTCTATAGCTAATAAAATAAATGCATTGCATGAAATTTGACATGCAGCTTGAATAAATGACAATTAAATGGCTCTTTCCATCATGCCATACCATAAAACACATGACATGTAAATAATAATTGCAACATATAGCATCTCATACAATCTCATTCCCATGACGAAGATCACAACACATCACATGTAAGTCCTGCAAAAACAAGTTAAATACCTCTAATATTTTTTGCAATTTTATCATGACTGCTAGGGTTGTCATTGCAAACCGTTAGCTACCTGTGTTATCATCAAGCATGACTATTCAACTTGCTAGTTTAACTTTCGTTGTGTCTAAAACACGAGACATAATGAAAAATCTCGAGCCCCATACCAAACTTCGTTAAACGTGTGACCCTAGGTAGATTACATCTACAAGCCTTTTTCCTCTCAAAATTTTATCTTTCGTAACTAAAGTGACACCCAAGGAGGCTGAAGCATGATGTTGCTCTCTCTCTCACACACACGAGCGCATGATGCGCTAGTTTATTACACAACGCAAAAGGAGTACTCGACACGGTCTCACAGTCATGGTTTACGCGGAACATGTGTTCATGAGCTAGTCCAGGGGACGACGCGTGCCGTCTTTGTCAGCAGAGGTGAGCCCTGCCCAAAAGATGAGCGACATAGACCAAATGTTAAATATACTTAAGTTTAAGTTTTGTGTCTGGTATAAGTTCAATAATTTGCATTCGAGTGCAAGTTTGGATTCTAGTGCCAGAGGTTCAATATATAGTTTGCATTATTCCACTGTCAGTTTGCATCATATAGTGCCATAGGTTCAGTAATTTGCGTTATTATTCCGGTGCAAGTTGGAAGTTGGGACAGACTTAGTCTTTGAAGCGAGTAGCTCCATAATAAAATTAAGATTCCACATAAAAAACCTAGCAACTGGCTCCACTTGTAGTACGAGTCTACGACTACTTCTGGTTGCTGATTATTAACTAGTTATAGGGGAACATCACACGTACTTAGTGTTCGTAGACCAGTACATTGTTCACTGACATTGAGCCATCATGGCGACGCTTGCGGTTATGGGGCATGCGGCGGTGGTGACGCAGCTCGTCGGCAACGCGTTTGGGCTCATCTGCAAGATCAATCAGGCGGTGGAGACGGCGTGCCAGAACAAGCTGGAGTGCAACCTCATCGCGCGCCGCGTCCCCACAATAAACGGGTTGTTGTCTACCTTGCCGCAGGAACCGGAGGTGGTGGCGCAGCTCAAGGAGCTCAACAGCACGCTGCAGGAGGCGCATGACATGATCGTCGCCTGCCGGGGTCGGAGCTCCGCCAATCTGTTCTTCATGTCCCGCCGCCACGCCGAGTCCTTCACCCAAGTCAACCTCAGGATTATGTCCGACATGAGCGTCCTCAACCTCTGCCTCCTCAACATCATCGCCCGGCGGCAGACGACGAATAAAAATACCACCGTTGACTTAAGAGAAAAAAGAAAAATTGTTGCTATTACAAGTCACTATTCATACTATTTTGGCCTTAATTTTTGTTTCTTCTGCCCTGAAATCAACGGCTTTTTCTTTTTGTGATTTTTTTACAAGTATAATAGAAGGCCGTGTTTATATCAAATATATTTTCTGATTTTTTTGACTTTTCATTAATTATATTTTTTCTTATAGAGTGTATATACACCCAGTTACCAAACACCTACAACAGCTATTTACTACTACTACTACACTGGATCTCGACTTGTCCAGTTTATCCTAGTCCGGAACATAGTGAAAATTTGGCGTCAAGGTGGAGCAACAATGCCTTGGTCAAGAATTATTTGTAAACCATATTGCTTAGAGAGCGGTCTACATGTAGGAAGGCGCTGGCATCCTTGACCATGCACTCGCCTGAGATTCGAAACGAACCTGAGCCACGGGATCGATGATGGACGGTGCTGATAGATGCACAGGGACTTGACTCGTTTAGTGTAATGTAGTGTGTGCCGACCAGTTTCTTTTGAAGACCAATTGACTTTGACCATTGGACCTTTGC